TTTAAAATATCTTTGCCACGTTGGGAGGAGAGGGAAGGGGGAGGTGGGTAGGGGAGGGAGGGGGAGGTGGGTAGGGGAGGGAGGGAGGGGGAGGGAGGGGGTGGGAGAGGGTGGGAGGCATGGGGGTGGTCAACCATATTATGTATCAATCTAGATTTGAAGTTTTCGTGACTGCAGGGATCCATACTCTTTGGTTATTTCGGTAAAGTCACGTAGATATAAAAAATAAATTAAATCACGACGTTTCGATCGCATCAGGTGAGAAAACCACAGCAAGAAAATTGATTGCTAAAGTGGGAGAGAGATGCCCTCTCTTACCTATATAACCTCTTACCACGGTATCTCTCCCCCACTTCAGTAGAAAATGTTATTTTTATTATTTATTGTTTCCCTTCTACGTGACTTTACCGAAAGAACCAAGAAGATGAATCCCTGCAGTCACGAAAGCTTTAAATCAAAATGTAAAAAATGTTCTTGCTGTCGTTTTCCCACCTACGTGACTTTACCGAAAGAACCAGAGTATGCATATTATGTATGCTGATGATCTGGTAATTGCCGCTCACTCCGAGGAGGAGTTGGAGGCGCTGCTGCTGAGACTGGAGCGTGCCACTCAGAGGTGGGGCCTTACCATCAGCCCCACCAAAACTAAGCACCTGCCTGGGTATTTTGTACCATCGGGCAACCCACCCACACCTCCCAATTGGTGATGGGGCAGTTGTGTAGATAGTGGAGAGTTTCCCATACCTGGGTAGTGTGCTCATGACCGGCTCCGGTTTTACAGCAGAGGTCTCACTCAGAATCAGTCGAGCGGCATTATATTTTCATCGGTTGCGTAACGCTGTGTAGAAGCTGCCTGGTCTTTCGCTCCGCACGAAGCTTCAAGTCTTCTCGGCCACGGTCATTCCCTCCCTTCTCCACGCTTGCGAAACGTGGACCCCCCCTAATGGAACATCTTCGCAGATTGGAAACATTTAGGCTGGTCTGCCTACGATCTATCCTAGGTTTAACCAGACTGGATTGTGTGAGCTCACAAATCCTTGAAAGATCTGGGCAAAGTCCCATCGGTGAGATCCTCCGGTAGGCAAGGCTGCGTTGGCTGGGTCCTGTAGCCCGCAAGCCCAGTCACCGCATGCATAAACAGCTTTGTTCGGCCGGATAGAGGGGGCTAAACAGGCACAGCACGGGCTAGAAAAGAGATGGAGTGACGTGGTACAGGAGGACGTGGAGCTGAATGGACTTGCCAATGACTGGTACCAGCGGTGTCAAGATCGGCCTCTGTGGAGGAGGCTCGTGAAGGACGCAACTGAGCAGTTGGAGGCAGTCGCCTTCCAACAACAAATGGAGGGCCGAGGAGCGACGCTCACAACAACGAGCGGATCGCCGAATGGCTAAAGCACAGCGAGTTGGCGTTGGCATAGTGGGGGACACAGGTTGCGCATCAGCCAGTCATCTCAGTTATCTCAGTCAGTCAACCCGTGGCACCTGGGTTTGCCCCGTGACCTCCTGCCAGTGGGCGTTCGACACTTCACGTGGCCTCAAGGTGCACATAGCCTGGCACAAGCGTCGTGGTGATGTCACCGCCACTTTGTGGCGAATGGCAGTTGTTGTTGGAGGGAGGAGAGGGATGGGGGAGGAGATGGTGGTAAGGGGGAGGGAGGAGAGAGGGTGGGATGGAGAGAGGAGATAGAGGGGGAAGGGAGGAGAGAGAGGGAGGATGGGGGGAAAGATCACGTGTTTTGTTTCCAGCGGAACGTAACGATTTCGCGTTTTGCGATCGATTCGATTTCGACGAATCTCATTGTGGAAATGTTATCTTTAAAATCTGTTCAGCGATAGCTTCGAGTGCGATTATATTTCACAGCTGGAGAGATTACGTGTGCAATCTGTTTTGATGTGAATCTATCGTGGTGTGATAAAATATTCGTGAAAAGTAGAGGCAAAGAAAATCGATAATGATCAACTTTTTCTGGCATAGTATCGATGCATGTTTCATGATGTTAAACATCGCTTTTAACGCTTAAAACAAAGGGGATTGACTAAATTAACAACCACTGCACACTTAATTGGTCTATTAATATACTTAAATCGATTATTAGGCGCATCCAACATGCATCGAAAAATTCGTGCATTATAAAAAGGGGCCGTCCATAAATGACGTCACGCACCTGGGGGGGGGGGTCAGACAATTTTTTACGATGTGTGACGAGGGGGGGGGGGGGTTGAGAAATGTGATGTGACATCAAAATGCGCAACTTTAAATAAATATAGACAACACGTTCTACTTAATTAAATAGACTTTTTAATCAATGTTTTCTCCTACAACATCAGAGTGCAGCGCCACATTAAATACACACTACAATGACAATAGTTTAAAGCGATTTGAAGCATGCTTTATATATTTTGGGGGGGGGGGGGGGCAGAGCTTTGTGACGTCATATTTGATGGGGGGGTCTGACTATTTGTGACGCCGTGTGACAAGGTGGGGGGGGGGGTCAAAAATCGTCCAAAATCGCGTGACGTCATTTATGGACGGCCCCAAGGATATTAATTTCAATTCGGCACGTTCGATTTAAAATTAACAAATACGTAATCTTCGGAAATAATTAACCGGATCAGACGAACACTGCCACATACATCAACCTTCACCTGCTTTGCGAATGTACTAACATTTTACAGTATTCATTAATCATCAGCCGTGGTCTACCTACTGGACATCTGTGAAAATAGCCTTATTGCTCATAGTAAATAGCGGCTTGCCACCTCCATGTGGCGATGTTCCTTTCTGAGCTCTCTCCGAGCTTACATTTACAAGCAAATTTCTTACATTGACATGCTCATCTCTCACAATACAATGGACACCCCCACAGCTTCGTTTTTCAAGATTTCTCCGATCTTACATTTACATGCAAATTTCATCTCTAGCCCCGCCCTCTGACCCTTGGGCTACACCCATCTCAAACCTTTATAATTCCCTGCCGAAGCAGCGCTCCCGCCATATACAGGGTGTTTAAAAAACATGAACCCAATTTCAAAGCAGTATATTTCACGATGGCAACATGTTACAATTGCACAAAAAGTTACAAACGGTTTAATGAGTTATCAAGTTTTATTAACCATTTCATAAATGCTCTATGTGCCCTCCACTTGCTGTAGTTGAATTCGTCCCAAACGCCTCTCTTCTCACGTTTTCCTCTGAGGTGCGTGGTCGCCCTGTGCTTTTCCCCTTACATCAACAGCAGCCCGTTTCCTCAAATTTGTCGGTGCCAACGACGAATGCTCTTTGACATTGGCGGATCGATGCCAACACGCCGTTGAAACGCACGCCGCATCGCAATTACGGATTCAGTCTTGCTGAACTGCAGAACGCAAAACGCCCCTTGTGTTGCGGTGGTGTCACCGTCTTGCCAATGACTGAGGCTAGGGGCTGTTTGTGCGCTGGGGTCACCATCTAGAGAGTGACTGAGGCTAGGGGCTGTTTGTGTGCTGGGGTCACCATCTAGAGAGTGACTGAGGCTAGGGGCTGTTTGTGTGCTGCGGTTACCATCTAGAGAATGACTGAGGCTAGGGGCTGTTTGTACGCTGGGGTCACCATCTAGAGAATGACTGAGGCTAGGGGCTGTTTGTTCACTGGGGTCACCATCTAGAGAATGACTGAGGATAGGGGCTGTTTGTGCGCTGGGGTCACCATCTAGAGAATGACTGAGGCTAGGGGCTGTTTGTGCGCTGGGGTCACCATCTAGAGAGTGACTGAGGCTAGGGGCTGTGTGTGTGCTGGGGTCACCATCTAGAGAATGACTGAGGCTAGGGGCTGTTTGTGTGCTGGGGTCACATCTAGAGAGTGACTGAGGCTAGGGGCTGTTTGTGTGCTGGGGTCACCATCTAGAGAATGACTGAGGCTAGGGGCTGTTTGTGTGCTGGGGTCACATCTAGAGAGTGACTGAGGCTAGGGGCTGTTTGTGCGCTGGGGTCACCATCTAGAGAGTGACTGAGGCTAGGGGCTGTTTGTGTGCTGGGGTCACCATCTAGAGAATGACTGAGGCTAGGGGCTGTTTGTGCGCTGGGTGAGGCATCTAGCGGTCATCATTTTAAACTCTATGCCCCGCCCTCTCTATGCCCCGCCCTCTATGTGCCCCGCCCTCTCTATGCCCCGCCCTCTCTGTGCCCCGCCCTCTCTATGCCTCGCCCTTTCTCGGGGTACGAGTTTCATTCATGGGCGGTTCGTGGTTGCAGAGATTTCGCGATTTCAAATCGGGTCCATCGTTTTAAAACACTCTCTATTTTTTCCTGCTTCAGCAGCTCTCACCTGATGACGATTGCTTGTGTTGCGATCGAAACGTCGTGATATTGTGATTATTTTTGTATTATTCTTATTTTTTAATTCTCATTATTTTTCTATCTACGTGGTCTTACCCAAAGACCCAAAGAATACACAGACATTCTTGGGCTCATTATAGTCGTAAATATTGTTGAAGCGATTTGTTTACCTTTCCTATACTTTGAACTCCTATCGTGGTTTTGTTTGTTGTTCTAGCGTTCTGACCCACCCCTGCTGGACATCTGCAAACAAGAGCTTTACAGCTCATCGGATTCCTCCAGCACAAATAAATATTCCGATTTTGCATCGACCTGCAGTGTTCCACGCATGAAGGAATGAAATCGATTCCGGATTGAATCGTTTACGGGAATCACCGAATCGTGACGCCCCTGCTACCCCCACACCTAACCCCCACCCCCCCACCACCAACAACCGCCACAACCACCACCCCCCTCCACCCCACCTTGTCTCAGTAAACAGCATGCAGTGTTCCACGCATGAAGGAATGAAATCGATTCCGGAGTTGAATCGATTACGGGAATCACCGATTTGTGACGCCCCTGCTACCCCCACACCTAACCCCCCCTAACACCAACAACCGCCCCCCCCTCCACCCCCACCTTGTCTCAGTAAACAGCGTCACGTGAGCGTTTTACGACACGAGCTTCAAAACACTTTACGACAGCCGTGAAGGAGATGGGGAGGGGGGCTGTGTTAATTTACGGCAGCAGATCACTCGCCGCGCTGCTCTATCGGCGAACTCGCACGAGCGCGCGCATGAGGAGCGCGCTGTCAACAACAACAACAATAACAGCAACATTGCGACTTGCTCGTCCCAATAACCGCGGTGACAAGAGAAGTGATTTATCAACGAAGCGTCTTGTATGTGTGGCAATAACATGTCAGCGCCGCTCCCTGCCGTCGTACCGGCGACCAGGAGAGCCACCGCCTCGGTGAGTGGAGTTGAGCGAGCGAGCGAGCGGGGCTGAGAAGCGTGGCGGGGTTGAGCGTGGTGGGGTTGAGGGAGCGTGGTTCAGCGAGCGTGGCGTGGTTGAGCGAGTGAGCGGGGTTGAGCGTGGCGTGGTTGAGGGAGCGGGGTTGAGGGAGCGTGGTTCAGCGAGCGTGGCGTGGTTGAGCGAGCGTGGTTGAGCGAGCGTGGTTGAGCGTGGCGTGGTTGAGCGAGCGAGCCAGGGTAACATGGAGTGGCGGCTCGTGCTCACCTCCCGCGGTGTGATCCGCGGGGTTCTATAGAAGAGGGTGTGTGTATGTATGTGTGTGAGCCTCACGATGTGGTCCACCAACCCCTCGCCCGTTGTGAGTTGGCGGGAGGGTTCGGTTTGTTGTCGGTCTTTGTGAGATCGTGTGTGTGACGAACGTTCGTGTAAAATGTTGTCACGGACTACAACCGCAATTACGGTCTTAGGCAACGTTGCTGCCGTGATCGTAGATATTATTGATTCAAAGTCTGGTTGGAGTCTTTAAAAAAAAATGTTAATTAGCCAAACATCGGAAATGTAGCAGGACCCTCCTGAGGGAAGAGTGTCGAGACTCGGGATTTGCCGAGTCAACAGAGGACACGAATGACAATGCAGTAAGTGTTATAGTAGATTAATATTTAATATATGCGTAGTCATAGATAGTGAGGTGAGTTTAATACCGGCTGGGAGTTGACTCATCATATCATCTCCCCTTTCTCGGGTCGATAAATTGAGCACCACTTTATTTGAAGCAGTCCTCTTTTGAATTGGTTGACCCATGCACGTGGAATTTCCATCACCGGCTCAAGGCCACCCATGTATGTACTGTGTATGAGCGCCTCACGAATTTATTTCATGCAGACGCATGTTGTGGCGACGTTACAGCAATATGTGCCGTTCACGTTGTTAAATGTTTCGCAAGGCATGCTCATAAATAATCCTCAGCAGCAGCCAGGATCACTCCACCGCTGGATGAGAGAGCCTAGCCAAGCAATCCCTCCAGCACCAGCTGCACACGAGGTCATTTCATCGCTTCATCTCCTCGGAGGATGGTCTCACCGACCCACTTCATTCCCTTGACCGTCACTGACCGCATGTTTTTTATGCACAAAACTTAAACCTTTTTATGACAAGGAATCATGTTTACATTAACCACAATACCCGCGGTCAGAATGCAAACAAAAAACACTGATAATTTATGAATTGTACTTGAAATTGATTGAGGTTTCAGTTTTGTTGCCAGAAAAAAGGGGGAAAAAACCTATTATTATATTATGGTACTGGCAAAGGAGGCCTCATGATGTAGATGCTTACCCCCCGAGCCCTCATTACTCTGATAGTGCGTTGGTCTTTGAGTTGTGCGCCTTTTAGCGTTATCTGGTCGAACACCATGTGAAACTAGGCTCTAAGGAAAGCTGTCTCTGGCGTGTGGACCAATCAATTTCAAGGACAATGCATACACGATCAGAGTGTGTATTTTTGCATTTTGACCACAAGTATTGTGGTTAATGTAAACATGATTCCTTGTAAAAAGGTTTCATTTTTGTTGCCAGAAAAAAGGGGAAAAAACCTATTATTATCACTACAAACCTGTCAACCCCATTATCAGTGCCTACCTTATTACAGACCAATTCAGACCTTATTGGTCACCCCGTGCCCCTTATAAATCTCAACGTTCATCCTACAAAGTCCCATCACAAGGGAGAAACACAAACAAATGGACAGAAAATGTTGCCTGTATTCAAAACGTCTGTACGCCGTATGGACCTGAATACGGGGTAAACCCTATGCCCTATGGGTTGCCAGCTATGGAGTTCATATTCTGGGGTCTTTCGGTAAAGTCACGTAGATAGGTTCAAAGAAAATAACAAAAAACTACGAATTTTGATTTAAAGCTTTCGTGACTGCAGGGATTCATATTCTTGGTTCTTTCGATAAAGCCACTTAGAAGGGAAATAATAAAAGAACCAAGAATATAAAAAACTACGACTGTTTTTCCCTTAAGACGACCGCCCGCGTGTGTTGCGATCAAAACATCGTAGTTTTTTTTGTCATTTTCTTTGACTTCACCGAAAGACCCAAGAATATGAATTCCTGCAGTCACGAAAGCTACAAGTCAAGCTATGGAGTTGTATAATGAGACTCAATGCGCACGTGTTTGCTTTATATATTTTTTCACTATAACTTTATTTTATTAATTCCTATGCGTATGAAACACGCGTGTGTTTTTCGTGTTTCTATCCTGGATTAATAACTAACTCGGTGCACCCGTGCGAGCACAAACGCTAATTAAATATTAACGATTGACGTCAGTGGCTTACATAAGTTAATCAGCGAGCCGAAATGTCGAACTCCGTAGTGCGCTTCCTTTTCTTAACGAGCGGTTGTGTACCACGTGCAGCCTAGGCTGGAAAACACTCTCTATAACGACACAAGGTTGAACAACACATTTAAGACAAAGACCCCCCCTCCCCGTATCGTATATAGCCTCCAGCAGACTTGTTAGTGCAAGTGCTGTTAGCGAGCAGCACCTATTACTGGTAGGAACGAAGTTGTAAACTGAGTGTACCAGCCTGCAATAGATTAATGTGTCCGTCCGTCCGTCCCCTTTCAATACTTTAACGAAGTGAAATCTCGTGCTGTTGGGTGTAAAATCAGCAATAGACAGCGCAGAGACTTGTCCTACCAGCCCACCCTGCAGGGACCTGTTACACTGGTGGGAACCTGGTTCCACCAGCCCACAGGGGATTATTGTGTCCGTCCGTCGTGCATCCAAAAATGGGAGGGGCTGGGTGGGGAGGGGAGGGTGGGGCTGGGTGGGGAGGGTGGGGAGGGGCTAGTTGGGGATTGGAGGGTGGGGAGGGGCTGGTTGGGGATTGGAGGGTGGGGAGGGGTTTGGAGGGGTGGGGCTGGGTGAGGAGGGGCTGGTCACCCCGTGGTGCCCTTATAAAACTCAACGTTTAACCTACTCACGCCGGCTTGTGCCCGCCCTCACAGTCGGGAATATTGTGCGGAATACACCACGTGGTGCCATTGACCCTGGCCATTGACCGAGAAACCCAACGTTCCTACCAGCTCCCTCCGCAGGAATGTGTTATGGGTACACGAGGTGACCGGTGGCTGGCTCACACCGTGCCCAGCAGCTTTTGTCTCCCCTAGGGCTGATGTTTTATACACACCACACCAGGTACAGTACTCATTTGAGGCTGAGTCGACCTAGCCAAGGCCCAGGGTCGGTTCAGATATTCACCCCACACACGGTTACCACGTCTTAAACGATTTCTTATTACTCTGACCTGCCAGGCACACTTTGTAAAACTGTATATTAGCTTCACTTCACGTCTCATCGGTTGTTGCTTAAACAATTAACAATACAGTCTTTAAAAATTTGGAGAGGCGTTTAACATTCAATCTGCAGTGCATGGTGCTCGCATATTCAAGAGCTGTCGGATTTTTAGGCACATTGCGAGTCATTTGGTCAAAAGCGCGTTGTTGTTGTTGTTGTCGGATACATCCCTGAAAAAAAAACCCACAAGAATACCATGTAGACTTTTTCTAGTTGATGGCCCATATGAGGTTAGACACACACACACACACCTATACATCGACCCTACATTATGCCGGGGGCGACCACCTTGCATGAAGCAGGTGTTATAGACTGCTTCCGGACTACGTGGCGAGCAGCAGAGAGCGGCAGTGCTGCACTTTGCCTCTCCACCTTAACCAACCCGTGCCGGCCAGCATGGTGAAATATGGTCAAATAACCCCCACGACACCCACAGTGTGAGAAGCCCTTCATCCAGCAGTGGATTTATCGTAACTGATGGTGGTGAAGTTTAAAAACGCACGTAGCGTGCACTAACCCATCCGTGGCTTCATTTCACCAGTAATTTTCAACCCGTCCATTGCGGACTTTACAAAACATCGCGGTCGTAGGTGGGAATGGTGGGGAAGCAACGCGGATGAGGTGGTCTACTTTTAGCAGGCTACTGTGGGCTCACATTTGCATGAGCTGATTTAGTCTTAGAGGATAATAAGAGCATGAGGCTGATTAAGAGGACAGTGTAAATAATTGTGCTACAATCCTGGCTACCGTTCTTGGCCATAACTGAATTTAAATTTAGGTTTGGGTTTTTTTTAGCTAAAGAAAAAATGTTGCTGTTTATTTGAGCGAAATGTCACCATTGGAAGCTTCATTTGCCAGTAACAAAATATGATAATTGTTTTTTTACCCTTTTATCTGGCAACAAAACTGACACCTTTTTTTACAAGGAGTCATGTTTACATTGGCCACAATACCTGCGGTCGGAACGCAAACAAAAAACAACAACTCTGATAATGTATGCACTGTCCTTGAAATTGATTGGTCCACACCCGAGACAGCTTTCTTTAGAGCCTCGTCTCACATGGTGTTGGACCAGAAGACACCAAAAGGCGCACAACTCAAAGACAATGCACCATCAGAGTATGAGAGCTCAGGGTAAGCATTTACACCATTGTAAACCTCATTTGCCAGTAACCAAATATGATAATTGTTTTTTTACCCTTTTATCTGGCAACAAAACTGGCACCTTTTTTTACAAGGAGTCATGTTTACTTTGACCACAATACCTGCAGTTGGAACGCAAACAAAAAACAACAACTCTGATAATGTATGCACTGTCCTTGAAATTGATTGGTCCACACCCGAGACAGCTTTCTTTAGAGCCTCGTCTCACATGGTGTTGGCCCAGAAGACGCCAAAAGGCGCACAACTCAAAGACAATGCACCATCAGAATATGAGAGCTCGGGGTTTGCGCTCCGACCGCAAGTATCGTGGTCAATGTAAACATGACTCCTTGTAAAAAAGGTGTCAGTTTTGTTGCCAGATAAAAGGGTAAACAAACAATTATCATTGAGTGAAATGTGTTTTGAAAACTGGTAGGTTAGATAAAAAAATAGGCATCAACAAAAAACGATTTCGCTTAAGACCAAA